ATTTTGGACTATAGTCTCTATCGCAGTTACACACTCACATGATGTTGCTGTGCTATGTAGTCACGAAAACGTATCGTTTGCACGCGTTTTTAGCATTGCGAATCCAAAAACAAGGTTTTAAGCCGTCGAAAAGCAATCAGCAGCAAAAGAGAACTCATTTGGCTATATGCATGCACTGTCTGACAGACAGACTGTTTCTGAGCGCTGTTAGAGAGGAGCTCACACGTAAAGATGGTGCTCATAGAGTGTGGGAGAATTGAATGGAATTATTTTTGCTGCTTTATCCACCTGTTCCCGGGGGGCGCTACTGTAAAAAAGAACGTGGGTACAACTTCCGGTGAGGCGGCAGCAGTAGTATACCAATGGTATTTTGTGTGTTAATTAGCGAAGAGGCTAAGTGTTTTTCTGATCTTTTCCACTGTCGGGCCAGTGCGAGCCAGTGCTTTACTAAAACCCTCAGACCTGTAGCACCAAGTCCAAAATCACGCTGCTTTTCCACCGTCAGGCCTGAAGCTCCGCAGCGCTTCACTAAAACCCGCCCTTTACACGCCTCTTCGGAACAACGTCACACAACCCCATCATTTCACCAACAAAGAGAAGTTATCAGAAAACTAATCAGAAATAAATCACTGGAACTAGCGAGATCACAATACAAACATGATAAAAGCGGCCAGTTGTGTGCATTTTTTGTTGTTTACTTAAAGATTTAAAACCAAAGTATCGATGTTTTACCAGTTTTACAATAATAAGTGCTACATTGATGAATTAGTTTGTGTCAGAACTGATTTTACCGTTTATTATTTACCGTTATTTCACAAAAGAAAGAGACACACAGCTACTTCAGTCATGTCTGTTTCTGTTTATTTGTAGTCACAGACAGTATAGGTCTACATCACATTTAGAAAGAATTATAATTTCTTATAATTTTTCTATCAAAAATATGACCATGAGTAGCTTTAGCACCCTCTCCAGTCCCAATACATTGTTATATTTTCAGTCAGAAAAACAGAGGTAGCTCCCGAACAAAAACTATGATTATGATTAATGACATATGCGGAGCTAAATATGAACATCGGGTATAAATAGGAGACTTATTGACAGATAAAATATGTAAATAAAAAAATACTTAATTTGTCTGATTTTTTTTCAGGCGGTCGTATTTACCATGTTTACTATGGTAATGCATACATAGTCTTTTGCATCGCATAATTCTGCCTTGTATGGTGATCATAATCTACATCAGATCTCAAACAGAAGTTATAAACACTCGCTGCTGCCTGAAAGTGAGTTGAGCTAAAATTATTTTATAAGTATTTAATGTTTGTTAGCTGGTAACAATATGTAATGAATCACAGCGATGCGGAGAATCTCGGTGAAAATGAGGCTATTGAGTGTCACGTCCCACTAGTTTACTTCGAAACGGAAGACACTCCCACTTTTGACACAAGGCCTCATGGGGCATAGGAAACTTGTGGATAGACCTTGAACGATTAAATACACACACTTGTATGTGTCAAAATGCCCGTCTTTACAAGTATCTTTGTAAACACATTAATTCTTATTTAAATCGCTTGACTGTTTGCTTCTCTTGTTTGTACTGAGCTTGAGTTTTACGTGCCAGTAGTTGCCTTGGTAACGCAGTGTTTACATGCGGTTTGAGATGTAAATAGCAATTACGTTATTTCACTCAAATAGCTTGCTTGGAAAGCTACAGAGAGAAACCGGTAGCCAGACAACAGACAAGTGACTGCTCCTGAGAGGCGACGGCACTACACGCATTCTGCCAGAACCGTTTCTTATCATTTTTAAGCTGCCTTTCCAACACTCCCACTTTTGACACAAGGCCTCATGGGGCATAGGAAACTTGTGGATAGACCTTGAACGATTAAATACACACACTTGTATGTGTCAAAATGCCCGTCTTTGCAAGTATCTTTGTAAACACAGTAATTCTTATTTAATCGCTTGACTGTTTGCTTCTCTTGTTTGTACTGAGCTTGAGTTTTACGTGCCAGTAGTTGCCTTGGTAACGCAGTGTTTACATGCGGTTTGAGATGTAAATAGCAATTACGTTATTTCACTCAAATAGCTTGCTTGGAAAGCTACAGAGAGAAACCGGTAGCCAGACAACAGACAAGTGACTGCTCCTGAGAGGCGACGGCACTACACGCATTCTGCCAGAACCGTTTCTTATCATTTTTAAGCTGCCTTTCCACTATCTCCGACAAAGACAAGTGAAAAACCGGAAGTCATTCATTTCCAATGGGAGAGTAGTGCAGGAGCTCCGTGGAGTTCCGATCATGATGTATTCTAATCAAAAATATGAGTGTGCGGTTAGAATTATGCACCATGTTTTTCTTTCTGCCATGCAACACGTTCTGTGATTTCTTTTTAATCAGCCACCGTATAATATTTACATGTATTTTTTTTATTTACATGTTTTAGCACCCCACCCCTAAACATACCCATTTGTATATACACAAGATAACAGGCAGATATGACAACAAATTTAAAATAAAAAAATTAATACCAAATGTTCCCTAGTAAAACGATTGATTTGTCTGAAGAACGCACGCAAAAGCGATCACCATCTCTGATGTACTGTGCACATTCAAAATTGGCGCCCGAGGAAGCAAGCGTTAAGTCAGTTTTGATCATGAAATGGCATTGGTTCTTGTGTGTCTTGTGACTGATTGCGTCATTACGCCACCTTTGATTCTGAAATGGCATTGGATCTTGTGTGTCTCGTGAGAGATTGCGTCGTGTATTTTTTGTATGAGACGTGACTACGTGCGTTCACGGAGCAAGATTATTTCAGCGATAAAACCTTAAATTTCACTCAGTCTGTTCATATAACGACATCGCATGGCTTCGGAAGATTTGGAATGCAACACAAAATGTTTGTAATACTGTTACACTATTTGTGGTCAATTTTTGCAATACTTACATGTGCCTGCACTTAAATTTGCTTGTGTTTTATATCGTTGAGAAGTGGGTAGTTTTAGGGTAAGGAGTGGTGTTAGGTGCTCCAAAATAATAATATAAAATAATTTCTAGTTTTACAAATGTGAAGATTTAAACTGAAGGGGTACCCTGCACCGAGACAATCCCTATTGAAATACATTACACTGAAAGTCGTGCTGAGTGACACGAAAAAAAGGGAAATTCGTGTCCATGAACATGAATCAATAGTTAAAAATGTTGTGACTATGTCACAAAATACAGTGAGACTGGGTTGGATTAGGGATACATTGATATGACACTCAGTATCGGTATCGGCTCCGATACTGGCATTTTCTGCCGGATCGGGTATCGGTCAGACGAGACCGATCTAAATCCTATATTGTGCGCATACTATTCTGTGTTATTGTTAAGCCCACAAAAGGCGCACAAACATTATGAAGCACCATAAAGTTTTCGTGCACTATATTTCAAGTGTTCTGAAGCTGTCCCATAATTCAATGTGAGGTACAGATGATGATGATGATAGATACTATATGAATACTAGATACTAGATGAATATTTAAGTCGTTAATTCAAGTTTAAGTAAACTCTTCTCTACGCTCCATTCAGCATTCAAACTGCGTTCGGTTATGACAGTCAAGATGATGACATTTTCTTAAAGAGCTCACAATAATTGAGATTTAAAACTGTTAAAAGAAAAGGCTCAAACTATTGCACAGATTTAATACACTAAGCATCCAAATCTCTTTCCTTTGTGCTTTGAACTTCTCAATGCGGAGCGCTGCGACTCCGTTTTGCTTCAAGTGCATTATTCTGCGCACGGGATTGGGATGCGCATAAGTGCTTTGTGCCGATCTGTATTGGAGTCGTTCGTATTATAAGACTTTTGCGCAAATGAAAGATTATTAATAGTCTTTCTTGTTCTGTCCTATCTATCATATCTTGCTGCTTTCATTACTGTGCTATACATTTAAAAGAAATGTCTTCATTTTATACTAATATATATATATAAATGTAAATGTACTTGATTGATTCTACTTCCTGATTTCATTATATCCTAGCAGAATTTTTTTTATTATTTTTTATAATTTAAATTTTTTTATATTTTGTCCATTTTTCATCAATATAGATTTTATTATGTGAATGTAATGTATTTATGAATTATGTAAATGAATGTATTGTGTGTGTGTATATATATATATATATATATATATAATTTATTTGTTTTTTATGAATGTATTTTACAACAATACAAAGAACAATGTGTAATGTTTTACCAGATTTAGTCCTACACTTATTATATTTTACTTATTCCCCACTAAATTATGTTATATCACTAAATGTTTAGATTTTATAAAATTAATGTGCATCCATGATTTTTCTAGATTAACTCCTGAATTATCCACTAACCTAGTTTATAATTTTTGTCATATATTATGATATATATATTTTTTTCATTTGTTATTTTTCATAAAAATTGTCTATATTTAGTAGATTGTGTTTAACACACAAAAGAGTGATGATCAGGTCAACACAGAAGTATAGAAATTCTACATTGATTTAAAAATAACAACTGCGCTGGTATCGGATCGATATCGGTATCGGCAGATACTCAGAATTTTCTGAAAAAATGGTGAAGTTGTGACAGGCACAACAGATGTTTTCCTTAGTGAACTACTTAGGTCTTTGATATCAACTTTTAATAAAATTAAAGATCTTTAAATGAAGAACAAAGATAAACAGCATGCAGTGACTGTGCCATAAGTAGGCTGGTGATTCTGACATATTACTTATTTATTATTTGTTGTAATGAACATTTACTGCTATTTACATTCAGGTATGTATATGTTAGTATAGCACTTTCATGGGACAAGTAGAAAAAAAATCACTTACAGACAACAAAAAGTGTCAATTAAAAATAACAACCAAAAATTGTTTAGGCTACTTCTGTATTATTTTTATATCACTTTTTCTGTAGAGCTGGACACTTAATAAGGATCAACTGACTGAGTTCAGCTTTGAAAATGAAAACCAACCTGTTTGTTCCTCAGTATCTTCATGTTTGACTCTGAATGCTTCTTCACTCTTCATGTCTCCACTCTCCTCTTTAATAAACTCCATCTTTATAATAGTGTGTCACAAGGATCTCAGTTGCTTCAGCAGGAGTTTTTCTGTGTGTTTGGACACTTTGTCCTGTTTAAGATGAGAATAATTAACAGAAAACAAATAAAACGAAATCTCTGGGTGCGTCTCAATCAGCTCCCTAGTTCAGTAGTCAGTGCACTGGTAAGCGAGTAAATCAGAGTGATAGTTAATGGATTTAAACTTGGACAAAAAACAACTATAACTAGCACTCAAATGAATAAAAGGACACAAATTATACAAAGGTTCACATTTGCATTAAGATTTATATTTAGTATTTACTGATTTGTAGGTTATATTTAATATATTCCACTTTAATGAAAACATTTGGAGTTGGTTTGTAAAAGTTAACATTAAATGTTTGTTGTTGTCATTGCATTTACACTTTTTTGAGCTGGGGGCTGTCTCATAAAACAAGTTTACTAAATAAGCCAGGCTTATTTCAGTTAGTCTGACTTATTGTCACTTGATTTGGTCTCCGAAAGCAAATTTACCATAGCTCAAGCTCAGTCACTGTGGCAACTTATGCTGGGAAACTAACCTGGTCCGGAGAAAGATAACTGTCAGGTTAAAGGGGTCATATGATGCGATTTCAATTTTTCCTTTCTCTTTGGAGTGTTACAAGCTCTTGGTGCATAAAGAAGATCTGTAAAGTTGCAAAGACTAAAGTCTCAAATCCAAAGAGATATTCTTTATAAAAGTTAAGAGTCAACCACGCCTACCTAAAACGGCTCGTTCTAACACACCCCAACATACCTACGTCGTTCTGTGGGAAGATATGCATAACGCCGCCCAAATGTTCACACAAAGAAAGAAGGCGTAACTTTTATTCATGAAGGCGCTGTGTTTCGTTGTGAAAGCGAAACTACTTTGTTTGACCTTCCAAAAGAGGACGATATTAGAATGAACCGTACCCCAGACCACCCTTTTTAAGCGGACTCGGGTACGGTTCGCGGGTGCGCACCCGAGTTCGGAAGACCGCGTTCACATCATCCAAACGTACCAAACTCTGACATCAATCGAACCTGGGTGCGCACCAAAAGTGCTAGTGTGAACACACCCTTAATGTTTCTGTCGCTCCGGCCGAGACAAGGCATCACAATATGGTAAGGGGCGTAACATTTCCGTCACACGCTTGAGGTATTCGGCCAATCACAACGCTCTGGATAGCTGGCCAATCAGAGCACACCTCGCTTTTCAGACCGATGAGCTTTGTAAAAATCGACGCGTTTCAGAAAGGCGGGGCATAGAGGAGAAACAATAATGTACAGTATGTGGAAAATAATGTGTTTTTTGAACCTTATACCGCATAAACACATTTCATTACACCAAATACACAAAATAATGTTCTTTTTAGCAGCATCATATGACCCCTTTAAGCTGAGTTCTGAGTTTAGGAATGCATTGATATTACCGCTGACTCTCTCACATACAATTAGTTGACTTTATTATTAGTCCAAAAATAAAAGCATACAGAAAAAGCAACTTAAATAATCAAATAAATAAAAGATATACAAACATTTTAACATATTTGCTACTTGCACATTCAGTTGATCAGCAGTTTCTATGCAGCCTTTCTCTCGGGTTTTATGACAGCTGTACCTTTTATGGTTATTAGTAGAACATTAAAACATTACAATCTAAAATTGCTCTTTAAAGCATTAAACACACTAAATTAAAAGTTAAATCCACTGAATTAAAAATAGAACTCAGACTACATTTTAACTGATAAGAGGAACACAAATTTAACTCATTTGAGATAGTAGGGCTGTATTAGCCAGCTTACATTAGATTTACATTTACTGTTATGATAAAAAATACACAAATATGTAGGATTAAAAATATATATATATACCTGTGACGTGTCAGTTATGCACTGAGGAAAACACAATGTCTCAGATGCATTAAACAGCACAGATATATTCGCTGTTTGCTATGGTGGATCGATTTGATCGATGATCGACATTAAAGGGGTCATATGATGCTGCTAAAAAGAACATTATTTTGTGTATTTGGTGTAATGAAATGTGTTTATGCGGTTTAAAGTTAAAAAAACACATTATTTTCCACATACTGTACATTATTGTTTCTCCTCTATGCCCCGCCTTTTTGAAACGCGTCGATTTTTACAAAACATAGTGATGTAGATATGTGGGGGCGTGTTAGAACGAGCCGTTTTAGGTAGGTGTGGCTAACTCTTAACTTTTATAAAGAATATCTCTTTGGATTTGAGACTTTAGTCTTTACAACTTTACAGATCTTCTTTATGCACCAAGAGCTTGTAACACTCCAAAGAGAAAGGAAAAAATGAAATCGCATCATATGACCCCTTTAAGGGCTGCGTACGAATAAGAGTGCACATCAAATAATCCTGACTCATTGAACCTGGATCGAATTAGTGAGCTTGCGTGAATTTAAATGGTCGTTTATGAAAACGCTTTAGTCACGATTGATTTATTAGGTTATTTCAAGTCAGGTTTTGGACTTTAATCCCCGCTTTTCTACGCGTATTTTATGAAACAGCCCCAGGTGTGGTCAGCGTGCGGTGATTGTTTCTCCATCACTAACGTTACTGGCCAGTGACTGAATTCTGATTCTCGATAATAGGGAGCGAAATGAGACGCAGCTTTTTGTTACTCATGTGTGGATACGCTTCACAAGCACAAAATAACGTTCCGTAATATACCTAGATTAAGTATTACATTAGTTAATAATTAATTTCACGCTACAATTCACTAAACAAGTTTTGTTGATTTAAACGCTTTACCTTCAAGCGAATCACAGATGCAGGAGCGCGGCGCGGCCTTGTGACGTCACATCACCAGACCAAAATAAAAGTCTCTGTAGCTAAAATCAAATAATTTTCCATTCCAAAATAAATATAATACGGTATGGGATGAACTGAAAGAACGAATTGCAGTGCTATCGAAAGCTCAAAGCTATCAATACAGTTTAGTTTTCCATCTAGTCTTATATCTGAATGTAACTGTGAAGTGCTTTCAGTTCATAATAAATTACGTAGTATTTATGATATTCTCACTCAAGGAACAAGCCCAGCATCTTGGTCTTCAAATGAAAGAATTGAAAAGAGCTTTACATTTCAGGTACAAGTCAATTCAGTGACAAGTGACCAATGTTGAGCTCTCAAAGTGCACTAGATTGATGAATTTAGCTTTAAAATGTATAAAAATAAATAAATAAAATAATCCAGAAGCACCTAGAGGGACTGAGGTCCACCCAACACAGTCTTACAAAATCCTCTAGGAACTTTAATGCTTAAATAATGGAATGTTAGTTAACCATAAGTTAAGATAGCTATAAGCACAGTAAATGTGCTATCTTTTTAAAATTAACATTATATTAGGACTTGGGAGAGTTAGAACAGTTACTTACTGGTATCAGTTGCACCAGAAATCTTTACAAAAAAGACAGAATAAAATACGCAGACATAAAGACAAAATTGGGATTTAACTTTACATTTCACATTTCTCAAGCAAACCTGTGTCAACTAATCAACTAAAGATAGCAAAGGCACTGAATGTTCCTAGAGACACTGTCGGAAGCAAAGTTCAAACCTAAAGGAACAACGGTTACACTACCTGGATGGGGCAGAAAAAGGAAGCTATCAACAACTCAAGTCAAGTCACTACTTTATGTCAAGCAATTCAAGTCAAGTCGTAGCTTGGGTGAAGCAAGTCACTGTCAAGTCATACAAATGTTTGATGATTTAACTTAATTTATATATTAAAATAACTTAAAACTACAGTAGGTATGGACTATGGGAGTTTCTACTCAAAAGGTGTCCACATACAGCTGAGTTGTTAATACAATTAAAATCTAAAAAATAAATAAATAAAAATTAAAACTACATAGCCTAAAAATGTAAATGTAACTGAAATTAGTCCAACATTAAAGCATGAAAAATATTTAGGTACAGCTGTTACTATATGCCTCAAACATTGCAGAAGACTGTAAAAAGTATTAAAACAACTCCAATCTCAGCAACGCAAGCTGAAACAGGAGAGTCCCCATTAGATAGAAGACGTAAAAAATTATCTGTTGCTTACTAGATCAATTTACAAGGGCATAATTCAGATCATCCTACAAAATCAATATTAGAGGGGAGTTGGGAGACAATGAACTTAACAGGAACAGGGTTTGCATGGGAAGTAAAGGATTGGGCTGCAAAAATGTCACTAAATAATATTACATTTTCACCAACAGTTACAATTTCCCCAATACCTCCTTGGTTTTTCAGTCAACCTAAAGTTGATTTTCAAATTCATGAATATATTCAAAAAGGACAGATTGACATTGATATCAAAGCCCATTCAACAGAATATATCAGAAAAGTTTATTATGCATTTCTGCCAATATACACTGATGGCTCAAGAAACCCAGAGGTCGTACTGGATCTGCATTCTATGTTCCAGAATTTAAAATCGGAAAATATGGAAGGTTAACGGATGGGACATCAGTATACACAGCCGAAATGGTGGCAATTCAAATGGCACTTAGTTGGGTAGAAGAAGTGATGCCAAATAAGGTAGTGATTTGTTCAGATTCAATGGCATCACTTACCAGTCTTCAAACTTTTCAAACTGTTAGATATGATATCTTTATAGAAATAATGAATATATTGTATAGATTAAGAAATGCTGGAATAATAGTTAATTTTGTTTGGGTTCCAGCGCATGTTGATATACCAGGAAATGAAAAAGCTGATAAAATGGCTAAAGAGTCACTTAATCTGCATACTCCTACTATTTCAGTTTCACTAAGCAGGATGGAGGGGAAAAGTATAATTAAAGAAGCTTGCAATTGGAAATGGCAAGGGAATTGGAATGACTGTAAAACAGGAAGACATTTTTATAATATACAAAACAGGGTAAGTCAAAGCAAAATGATACTGAACTTAAGTAGAGAAGATCAGGTCATTTTAACAAGACTAAGGATGGGTCATACAAAACTTAATTCTACACTTCATATAATAGGGAAACACAGTACTGGATTATGTGAAACATGCCAAGTAAAGGAAACAGTTGATCATGTGTTGTTACTCTGTCCTAGGTATGAACAGGAAAGGAATGAACTACAAAGAGAATTACAGAACTTAGGATGTAATGAATTTTCAATTTGCAACATATTAAACACAAAACAAGGATGTGGTAAAATAATAAAGACAATTTTAAAATTCATTAGGAATAGTGGACTTAAGAATAGCATATAGAATTCATAATATATGCCTAGACTGAAATCACTTCACACTCCAGCACAGGAGGTGGCGGTATGCACCTTAAAAGCTGGTATGCGCCCCGCCAATAAATCCACAGAAGAAGAAGAAGAACAACGATTTCCTTGTGTTGTGTTTACGAAAAAAACGGCAATTATTATTTGGGGAAAACACCACGGACAAAATTATCTGCAGGTCTTTTGTCTTCCTTTTTATAATTTACTTTAGTGTGTTTAATATGCCTGTTCACCTCTTGTTTTATTGAGTACCAGTTCGTGACTAGCTAGGTGCTGGCGGGCTTGCTAGTCAGTTAGTTAGCCAGTGTGTCGAGACTGATCCGGCTGACTGAACTGAACATTACATAAACGACTGTACGAGACACATCTGATCCGACTCAGAAGAAAAGAAATGCCGATCAAACACATGTCATGTTAATTTGAACACTTTTTCGTTTCGGAGCTGTTGCTGTTTTTACGCGGCTAAGGTTAGCTAGTTAGCTTACTTAACCAGCCGTGTTGCTGTTTTGTATACATATAATAACCGCTAAGTTAGTTTGTTCTGATCGGACTGTGCTGGAGAAATGGGTTCAATTCTTAGTCGAAGAATCGCTGGTGTTGAGGACATCGACATCCAGGCCAATTCTGCATACAGATATCCTCCAAAATCAGGTAAGATGGACTGTTGTGATAGAAGGCGACGTTTATGTGCTCTTGCCTTCTAGTTGATAACACTTATCATCTCTAATAGACTGATTCTTTGAGCTCAGATAAGCTCCCATTTTAAACATTTATCTAATAAGGTCATACTGTCAACGAACTGATTAAATGATGTAGTTAAAATCCATATGAAACCGGATTAGTATGTACAAAGTTTAATACCAGTGTAAACGATGGCAAAATGACAAAGAATGCCTTCACTGATGGTGTTACTCTGTTTATACATTTTGTTAGAGGTGTCAGATTGGATAATGGCTATTTTCTTTCCCCAAGGAAACTATTTTGCCAGCCATTTTTTCATGGGAGGAGAGAAGTTTGACACTCCTCATCCAGAGGGTTTCCTTTTTGGAGAGAACATGGATCTCAACTTTCTTGGTAACCGCCCAGTGCAGGTACAGCTGAATTTTGAATGCCTTGTGATTGTGTTGTTAGCTTTGAGACTTGGTTTTGTGATGTTTCCACTGTTGTTGTCTCTTTTTGATGAACTCTTGTGTTGGCTTTAGATAAAAGCATTTGATAAATAAAAATCTGAATAAAATATTAATATTAAATTTTCCTTTATTTTATAATTTTTTTCACGTGCGGTACCTGCCACAGTTTCCCTATGTTACTCCGGCACCCCATGAGCCAGTCAAGACATTGAGAAGTCTTGTCAACATCAGAAAAGACTCATTACGATTGGTCAGGTACTGATTCAGGATTACTATATAAAATATAAACATTCATATCCTGAGAACAAATGATCTCTGTGCTGCATGTAGTCACTTTTGTTCTGTTATTGATGTATTTGCTTTTAAGTAATTTTGCATTTTCAATGTCAATTTGTGTGATTATAGGTATAAAGATGACGCTGATACTCCTACTGATGAAGGATCAAAACCAAGGGCCTTATATGGAGTGGAGTTCACCTTTGACTCTGATGCACGAGTGGCCCTCACTATCTACTGCCAGGCTTTTAAGGAGTTCTC